CCCCCGGGCTTTGGGTTTTGAGGGTTCGAGTCTCACTAGCCGCCTCTCATTTGTGGCGTCCAGACTGCAGTCATTGAGCTCGTCGACACACTTGAAGGAAATGCAGATGCGCTTTAATGGGTTAGTTCTGTATCATGTGTGACGAGGATTTCTCCCATCATTCCTCACGACTGTCCTGCTCCCGGATGACTCGCTGCGGCCCAGTTTTTCTTCATATTTGTGGTTTTGCAGCAGGTGAAGAAAGTTTGGTGTAACCTGCAGAAATCTCATGAATGAATGTGTGATGGGGTTTCACTTCACAGTTAGTTTAGTATTATAAACATACTATTATATTTACCATTAATGTTTTGAATAAATTTTTATTTTTATATTTTATTTTTATTTTAATTTTAGCTTGTTGCAGTAATTTTGTTGTGTTTTTGTCATTTGTAGTAGTTTTTGGTGTGTGTGTGTAGAGTGTGAGTGTGTGTGTGTGTGTGTGTGGTGTGTGTGTGTGTAAAGTGTGTAAGTTCATAAAAGCATCCAATCAGGTTACGACGTATCTTTAGGTTCAGTGTTAATAATGACAGTGTGAATGCAAAGTGAATCAGGACTAAATGTGTCATGTTCTGTTTTAGTCCGGACAAAAAGAGCCAAGAGAACTGAACTACTAATATGAACACAGCCTTAAACTCATCTCTAAGGCAGCATAAATGCCCGTTGTTTTGATCAGTGCATATGATGCCTTAACGTGCTGTCTAGGTAGTGCTGTGTAGTTAGTGCTGTCTCTTCTATCTTCTGGATGACCGCCTCCATCATCATTGTGGTGGTGTTGTGTTGATCTGATTGTGTTTCTGTCATGAACAGACTTGTGAATTGACTTCCTGCATTATGAACGGGTCTGATTTAGAGACAAATTCCAGACATTCCAGGAAAACTCAGGGAAGCATGTCAGGTGACGCGGTCACATGGTGTCAAGCGCTGCTGCTCTTCAAGATGCCGTTAGCAGCAAAGTCTGTTTCACACTAAAAGAGAATCAAGCACACATACGCATTTATAACACGCATATATTATGCATATGTATGTATGTATATATGTGATTTTTTTTTCAGAAATTAACAAAGAAACAGCAACACATTGAATTAAACATGAAATTTGAACAAAGATTGAAATCGTATCTTCTTGTAAAACATACTCCAATAATCTTTAACTTTGAAAAAACATTTTTACAGTGTAATGAAAATCATTGTTTTTCCAATTTTTGTATTATATTTTTATTTTTCTATTATATTTATATTTTTTTAAATCAGCATGAATTAATTTCAGTACAACACACTCTACAGTGATGTATACATACAGTAATTGTCATTTGGAATAAAAAAAGTGCTTAATTGTCAATTAATGTCATAAATTAGGAATGTCTATTGTATTTTTATTTTTCAATTCTATTTTTTTTAATTGGCATAATTTTTTTTCTAATCTTTTTTTTTTTTTTTTTTCAATTGAAAAATCTTTTTTACACTGTAATGTAAACAATATTTTCCATTTTTATTATATTTTTTTCTATTTGTTTTTTATTGGCATGAGTTTTTAAAAAAACAGTGTAATAAAATCATAATTTTTTTCTGTTTTTTTTGTATTTAGTTTTATTTTCTGTTTTTTTTTTTTTTTTTTTTTGTAATTAAAATTTTTTTTTTTTTTTTTTTTTTTTTTTTTTTTTTTTTTTAAATCAGCATGAATTAAATTTAATACAACACATACTACAATTTATACTTACAGTAATTATCGTCTGGGATAAAAAAAAGTGCTTAATTGTCAATTAAAATAATGTCACAAATGATCTTTCACATGAATATCTAAATGCAAATTTCTGTAATGAAAATCATTCTTTCTAGGCCAATTTCTAGCTCTATATAAATAATGAGTATGTATGTATATTTTATTGCAGGCTCAGATCGCGTTCCTGCAGGGTGAGAGGAAAGGCCAGGAGAACCTGAAGAAGGATCTGGTGAGACGGATAAAGATGCTGGAATACGCTCTCAAACAGGAGCGGTCAGTAAACACACACACATTTCAATCATTTACGCACGTCTGTGTGAACATGGCCATTATGTAGCCTGATTGCAGGGAGCGAGGCGCGTTTGAAGTTTATTTGATGATGACGGGAAAATAATGACGGACCCTAAATCAGCCCAGTCCTCATGAAGCAGGATAACACACATGCAGAGCTTTCTGTCAGGATTTCATGCTTTTGTCACGTCATGAAGCAGCTTCTTAGTTTAGTTGTTTAAAGTTACCAAGCTTTAATACTGAATTCATCTGATGTGCATCACTGCGTGTGCTTTGTGGCTTTGAGTGAAGCTCTTTTAATCGGAATTTACAGTCAAAACTATCTGTAAAATAATATTAGATTTGCTGTTTTCAGTCTTTTTCTCCTTAAATCAAATGCTAGTAGCTGTTATTTTGTTAATTGATTTAACTATTGATTTTTTTTTTTTCTCCGATTAATTGGATGAAAATGTGCAATTTAAAAAATAAAACGAATATGCGTTTAAAAATAGTTTAAATTAAAACAGTTTTAAAAAATGAAATTAATTTATATTTTAAAAAATAATTTAAATTGAAACAATTTTAATAAAATGAATATATATTTTAATTGTAAACAATTTAAACTTATAAAAATAAAAAGAATATATATTTAAAAAATAATTTAAATTTAAACAATTTTAATCAAATGAATATATATTTTAATTGTAAACCATTTAAATAAATAAAAATAAAAATAATATATATTTTAAAAAATAATTTAAATGTAAACAATTTTTTTTTTTTAATTAATGAATATATTGGTACCAAGCGGCGTTGCAACTCACCATATTAATTTTGAATTCATCTGATGTGCGTCACTGGTGTCTGTTTTACGGTTTTGAATGAAGCTCATTTAATCTGAATTTAGTCAAATCTGTCAAGTCAAGTTTATTTGTACAGCGCTTTTCACGATACAAATCATTGCAAAGCAACTTTACAGCAAATTAAGTTTCTACAATATTTAGTGGTAGCTTATCAGTGGTTTAATGTACATATGGCAGAAATGTACGGAAAAATCAATTTATGACGTAATAAAACTGA